CTCCGCGCCATCGAGCAGCAGCTCTCTCTCTCGCTCTCTCTCTCTCTCTATAATCTCCATTGTAGTTTCTTTTCTGGCTTAACCAGTTATATATTAAGGATTTTATAAGGTATCCCCCAAAAGGAACTACAATGTACCTATAGTCGCCATTGTAGTTCCTTTTGTTGGTTTAACCAAATATATAATTTACGGATTCTATAAGGTATCCCCAAAAAGGAACCACAACGGAGACTATAGGGTGTCGACGATGACAAGCAGTGTCACATGGGGGCTCGAACCCTTCGATTTGTAAGGGTCGTTGAAGTCCTGGCCGTGGGTTCGCGTTTCGGTTACGGGGTGTAGGCTTGGGTTTGGGGTGTTGGGGCTTCGGGTTGTGGGGTTTAGGGTTGAGGGTTTGGGGTTTAGGGTTTAGGGTTTAGGGTTTAGGGTTTAGGGTTTAGGGTTTAGGGTAGGTCACTCAAAGGATCATGGGACTTAGGAACTGAGATTATAGATAAGGTAACTATACTTACAAATTCTTATAACCCCAATTAGGGTACTCATAACTTATAACCCTACTTACCAAGTCGCAAGATCCTCCAAGTAAAGTATGCGCAAGAGACTTTTAGGTTTACAGATAAAGATAAGCAATCGAGGGTTTAGGGTTTAGGGCTTTTTTAGGGTTTGGAGTGGAAGGTTTGCGGTTGAGGGTGATCTCTGGTCCAAAACCCTACGATTCGAAGCCTCAACAGAAGCCTCCGAGCCGCAGACCCCTCCCCAAAGCCTTAGAATCCTAGGAAACGCTATGCACAACCCTACGAAGCCGTAAAGCCTTCAAAACCCCAAAGACTCTTGCCGCCCTAAACCCTAAACCCTAAACCCCTAAACCCCTAAACCCTAAACCCTAAACCCTAAACCTAAATCTTAGGAGCCTGAGATCCTGAGCCCCAAGGCCAAAGCCTCGAAGCCCCCGTGGCCCAAAGTAAAGCCGCAGAGCCTGAAGTGCTGATAGAATCCTTGTAGAACCGTTGCAGAAAACCTCAACCCAAAAGAACTTCGAAGCTTTGCTGGTACTTTACTACCGAGCCGTTTGAAATGCTTACAAAAGTCTCAAAGAAGCTTTGCAAAGCCCGTAAAAATTCCACAGCGCCCTCGAAGCCCTAAACCCTAAACCCGTGTTTAGGCCCTTGAACTGAACCAAACCCTAAACCCTCTGACAGTAAGGGACGGGACCCTTTAAGGAACCCCAAAAGAAGCACACCCTAAACCCTAAACCCTAAACCCAAAAAGAAGCCCTTTAACGCCCCCTGAAGCTTCGAGGATCCCTGGTCCATCTCGTATGTGGAGTGCCACTGCACCGGTACACGCATCGGCGACGGCATCGAGGCAAAACTCGTTTAGGGTTTTAGGGTTTTAGTGTTTTAGGGTTTAGTGTTTTAGGGTTTTAGGGTTTTAGGTAAGAGGGCTTAGGGGTTTAGAGGCGTAGGGGTTCGGGGGTTTAATGGTCAGGGGCTTGAGTTTTGGAATTTTGGCGTTTTGGGGTTTAGGGGTTTGGGGTTTATAGGGGCTTGACGTTTATAGCTTATAGGCTTAAGCTCCAGGGCTTTAGGTTTGGATTTCGGGCTTAAGGTTTAGGGGTAAACCCTTAAATCCTGAACTCCTTAACCTTCAGCCTATAGCAAGTCCTGATGCAGCGGCACGTTTGTCCCGAACTCCTCAATCCGTAAACCCCAAACCCTACCTATACCCTATGCTAGGCACCCTGGAACCTAGACCCTAAATGCCCTGAGCAAGTTACAGCTGTGCCGTGTGCATGTAGTTGGTCGGGCACATGTGTGCCACAGTCTGAATGTTTGAATGATACACAGTCGCATGAGTTGTTTTACTAAAATAGTCCCTTTGATAAGTTTTCTATCATGCGACCCCAAAAGCATCTGCCATGTATTCAAACCCTACCGTATATCCTAAACTTTAAACCCAAATCCCGTAAACCCTAAACCCTACACCTTAAACCTCTAAGCCCCTAAACCCTATTCCAAGCCGAACACTTATAAGTTTAGAGCCCACCTCCGCAGATCCACGGCCTTCTCAGCGCCTTCGAAAACATCGGCGGCCGGAAGCAGGAGCTGACTCAGGGCTTCCTCAAGGGGTTTAGGTGTTTTAATGGTTTAGGGGTTTAGGGGTTAGGCTTAGGGATTTAGGAGTTTAGGGGTTTCGGGTTTAAGGTTACGCAGAAGCGGGGTCCCTATGAGGTTTCTTACGCAGCTTGCTTTGTGTTTTTCTGGAGTTTGGGCTTTTTGGTTTCTTGAAGCGTTTTCGGGGTTTGATTCAGGGATTGTTTGGTTTGGTTTGGGGAAATAAAAGAACCCAACCAATAAGGTGTGAGAGCCTGACCCCTTAATTGAGGGCTCCAACATTCGTAATAGCATTCAGCTAATATATAGGGGCCTTAGTCATTAACTACACTATTTTGAGGGCTTCCTTATCACAAGATATCCCCAAACCCTATTCTAATTGTTAAGGCCCCTACATTATAGTATTTCTTGGGCCTCCTTGTCGGAAGCTATGCTGTGATCATAGCTAAACCCCACAGAAGTCTGGGCACATGATTTAGTCAGGGTTTAGGGTTTAGGGTTTAGGGTTTAGGGTCAGGTTTTAGATTCACCCCAAACCCTCTTGGCCTTGTAGTGACGGGCTTGAAGTTCACGGGTTTAGTGTCGTTGGCTTTTGGGGCTCAGCATTTTCTCATCTTCGTGCTGATTCCCCACTCCCGGAGCTTCGAAGCCTAAGCTCCGAAAGCCGAGTGGCGAGACATTAACTAGGTTCCCCAGTAGTGCCCTTTTGCGCTTTTTGTTCTAGGGTCTCCCTATTCAAACCGAATGTTTCAAGCCTCGCACAAACCATGCTCGCTCGAGAAGGCTGCTTCCTCAATGTTTGTGTGCTCACTCGTTTGCCCGTGCCGGTTGCCTGTTTGCGTGGGCGCGTCCTGCGCAGTGTGGGAGTACGCAATTCTCTTAGCATACACCTTTGCATGTCTGGCTGTGCAGAGGGAGTTGCATGTTTACAGTGCAGACTGACCACAGGCGGAAACCGACCTCCAGCCATTCCGGCAAGAGCGTGTGGAGCTGGGGGCAGCTAGCTGGCGGACGGGCGCAAAGCGGTGCTGGGCTGGCTGGGCGGTGCTACCTTGAATAAGCCCGTTTTGAAGCATTTACGAGCCCCCTACTAAGCCCTTATTATGGCCATAATAAGCCCTTATTACGGCCATTTTAAGCCCTTACTGAAGCTATATTAAGCCGTTATAGCAGACGCCAAAATAGGCTGGGCTGCTGTGTGTGCTGGCTGGCTGGACCTTTAGAATCGCCATATTAAGCCTTTAATTTGGCTACATTAAGCTTGTATTATGGCCAAAATAAGCCCTTATTGTGGCCAAATTAAAAGCTTTTATTAAGCTCTTATTAATACCAAAACAGCCGTCAGTCAGAGCTGGGCTGGCTGGCTGGGCTGGAGTGGAGTGGTGCGCTAGTGTGAAACGGAAATTGGTTTATTGGCTGGGCTGGGCTTGGGCTGGGCTTGGGCTGGGCTGTGGGGCTGGGCTGGGCGGCTGGGCTGGGCTGGGGCTGGGTGCGGGCTGGTGGGTTTGAAACGGAAATTGATTTGTTAGAACATGGAAAAGTTGTGTCCTGACCGGAAGAAAAGTTTCCGGCTGGCTAACAGCAACACGCAATTTCTATGTATTTCTTTCTTGAGGTTTAGGTTAGGGTTTAGGGTTTAGGACCCTGAACCCTAAACCCTTTATTCCATTAAGAGGCAGCACAGGCCCAGCCTTCCTTTTGGCGCAGGCTGGTAGCGACACAACAGTTGCGCAGGGCGCTGAGATGGGCAGGTTCTTGAAGGTTCTCAGTTTTCAATCGTAAACTCCTGGGTGACTAAACAGCGGCATTTGAAGGTCCATGGTTAGAGTTAGTACGGGGACATGCGCCTGTGGCGATTGTGACTTACAGCTGTAACTAAGCTTTGAACTGCCCATGCAGCTTCGAGATATCTGAACTTGTACCCTAAACCCAGGACCCATTTCTTGTGTTTCGTTATTATGGCTGCGTGTTCCCTGTATAAGTTTGATTTCACCAACCATCTAGTTCTAGCGCCAAGAAGACGAAGAGGTCAGGAAGGCCTTGCCCGCAAAGGAGGACGATGCAACGAGGCTGGAGGCTGTATGCCTCGCGGCAACTCTGGCTGGGCACTGCCATCCCTTACCTACTTTGCTCAATCTGCATTGCCGGCCGGCCGGAAAACGGAAGTTGCAGATAGCAATGCCACGACAAGATGGTGCGGACCATCTGCTGATCCGGAATCCATGAACCTCGTCGGGGCTCGAAAATGGAGGGCTGTGGATGTTGCGTTTTGGGTGGGGTGGTTTAGAGTTTCGGTGATTGCCTTGACCTAAACCCTAAACCCTTCTTAAGTTTTGTAGGGCTTTGGGATCAGGTTTTGGAGGGTCGGGGTCAGCATCAAGCACAGGAGCCAAAGGCATAAGGGCACCATGCTTCCGGTGTCGCTTCTTCAAAGCATCACGAGTTTTGTCTTAAACCTAGGAACCCTTAGAAAAAAGGGCCCTACGGTGTAGGGTTTATGTTTGCATATTCGCCGAGAGCCCGTGAGTCCCCCGACCCGCCAAGCAGTCTAGGTTTTAAGGTTTATTAAGGCTTTCGGGTGTGAGGGTAGAGGCGAGGGTTAAGGGCAGTCATAGGAGTTTGAGAAACACTCCATTTATACATACATATATCTATCTCTGGACTTGACGCGCTATGACAGCTTTTTCCCTCGGTGGCTGACAGGCATTTGCATATTCTCGTTATGCATTTGTACTGGTATTGCGCCTGATGAGCCATTGTGGCACATCCGCAATGTCCTCACACGCAGCCTCGTTTTCTGCCTGGTGTTATTGCCCGATAGTGATGTCTTCTTCAAGTCTGATGGCCTAGCATCTGGGCATGTCGGTGTGAGTTTCGTCGAAACTGATGGCACTAGGATCCTGCTGCATGTCTGGATACTCCATCAAGTACTCTGCTCCGGGCGCTTTACGTTATCACAGGCTGCTAGATGCACATTGCAGCGACGCTTTGGGCACCTTCGTTGCCTCAGTGACGACGCTTTAATCGCTCTCAGTTGGCACTTCTGCTTTCTGGGCTTAAGGTTCAGGGCTTTGTTGGTTTTGAAGTTCACATAGTATCAACCCTCCAAATCTGTCTAGAAAGACCCTCTTCCTAACCCTACGTATCGGGTCACAGGAGCATCAGAGAGGTCCATTAAATCTTGCCCCTCGTATTGCAGGAAGCTGGGAACGATGGAGCTTTCTAGAGTCCCCACACAGCCACAAGTCCGCCACCTACAAGAAACCCTAAACCCTAAACCGCATGACAGGAAACCCCAAGCCCAAATGAACCCTGACCCTCTGGACCCAACAACCCAAAAGACTGGGCCCTGGACCCTACACCCACAGAGCACCACACCCCAAAACCGAAAACCCGAAAGCCGGTCTTCCTACCATATGAATGACTATTTCGTATACCATGAGTCCCTAAATCCTTCTACCATATCACTCCCTAAACCCATAAGTCTACGCTTTATGAGGTCCCCGTTTTCTTCAAAGCCGAGAAAGCCCTAAAAGCACCACGTAAGACTCTTTAAACGCCTCCTGAGCAACTTACGAAAGCAGTTACGATACAATCTACTACTATGACATTAAAGTATACAGCGAACTCTAGAAAGTTGGCACATGGGGCTGCTACCATATGGGTAGTTCTCTAAATTAAGGTTCCTTTCAGTGTCCTTTTAATAAGGGTGCCGTACTATGTTGGGACCTAAAAAGGGACCCAGAGAACTACCACCCTAAACCCTAAACCCTAAACCCCAAACCCTAAACCCTAAACCCTAAACCCTAAACCCAAAAACCCTGAACCCTACCGAAGTGGCTTTTTTTTTACCCGTCTATTCCGAGGCTAGGCTCCGTGAAGGGAAACATCGCGCACGCCAACTGTGCAGCTGGTGCCACGGGCTTTATCAAGGCTGGGGTTAGGGATCGGGGTTTAGGGTTTAGG